TGTACAAACATAACGCCGTTACAAATCCTGCGATGGCGCAAAGAAGGGAGGTCTAAAAGATGTAGCCTCGATTGATAAGGTGGCAAGATTCTATCCGAGTCCCAGTTAAAATTACGTAAGGCAAAAATTAAAAATTGTTTTTGGACCGACTCGAGAATGGACTGTTGCTCCTTGTACTGTGGACTCCACACACAAGAACAATATTCCAGAATCGGACGAACCAAGGAGACGTACAGTGTTTTGGTGACATACGGGTCATCAAACTCCTTGGACCAACGCTTTATAAACGCTAGAACACCCTTAGCTTTATTTACAGTTGCAGCTATATGGCTATTAAAACACAGTCTATGATCGAAAAGAACTCCAATGTCATTAGAACTCGAAATTCGTTCGAGGGCATGAATTCCTAGAGCGTACGAGACAATGTGTGGAGTGCGACAGTAAAAAGTCATAAGTTTGCATTTAGAAAGGTTCAGAAAGAGGAGATTTGTTGAACACCAAATTTGCAACTCGTTTAGGTCGAGTTGAAGGCGTTTGTGCAGGTACCAATCAGAGTAGGAGAGATAGATTTTAACATCGTCAGCGTACAATAGTGTAGAGGAGTATGTTATAACTTGAGGAAGGTCATTCACAAATAAAATAAACAGAAGTGGACCTAAATGACTACCTCGTGGCACTCCTGATGTAACATTAACGAAATTCGACAACACATTAGTAAACAAAACACGTTGTGTGCGGTAAGAAAGATATGACGAAATCCAGTTTAGAAGATTAGTGGGAAACCAATTAAAGAAAGCTTGTGAATGAGAAGAGAATGGTTCACGAAGTCGAAAGCCTTGCTAAAATCCGTGAAAATTACGTCTGTTTGCAGGGAGCTTTGAAATCCTCGGTTAATTGAAGAAGAGAACTCGAGAAGGTTTGTCAATGTTGATCGATGTTTAAAAAGTCCGTGTTGCGATGGAGATATCAGACTCCTGCATAGGTGTTGCAATTGCCTGGTAATAAGGAACTCAAGCAGCTTTGGAATAGCGGAAAGCTTAGCAATACCTCGTTAGTTCTCAATGTGAGATCTTGAACCCTTTTTGTGAAGCGGAATGATATAGTATTCGTTCCAAATCACTGGAAGACATGACCGTTCCAATGATAGGTTGAAAAGATATGTCAACGGTTTGCATAAGGACTGGGCACAGTGTTTAAAATATAACTTGGTACCTTGTCTGGACCCGCCGAGAATGATATGTCAATCTTTGACAAACCTTCTAGAACATCACTTTCCTCAAAGAAAGGCAGAAAAATGCTGTTGGCATAAGGTAAATGGTAGGGATACGGAGTAGATGCATGGTAGATATGTGACGAGTACGTTGATTGGAAGAAGATGACAAATAAATTTGCAATACCAGCAGCAGAAGATTCAGATTTGTTTTGATAATGGAGGGATGGAGGAAATGCATTGGACTTACGTTTAGAATTAACGAACGAATAGAATTTTTTTGGATCACTACGAAAATGTTTACTACATCGGGAAAGGTATTGATTATAACAAAGACTATTAACACAGAGGAGTTGAGAACGAGCGGAGGAATATTGAGCGAAGACAATCATAGATCCAGTTTTCTGATACTTTTTATAGAGCCTAGTTTTTCTTTTCTTTAAATAAGACAAATTCTTGGAGAACCAAGGAGATTTTGACGACAAAGATTTGATGACAGGAACATATATATTAAGGGCGTCGTTAATAGTTTCATAGAACGATTTGACTGTTTCGTCAATGTTCGGGAACACGTGGCTCGGGTTAGCAACGCTATGGTCGGATCCGTGACAAAGCACAGATCAAGCAATCGACCCAAGGAATTTTTCACATGGTTGACTTAGACAGGGATAGGTCTAGCAAGCCGTCGATAAAGTCATGTCGTGACATGGGCACAAGATTATTAGACTTGTTTACCGAAGACCAAACAGTACCTGGAAAATTGAAATCACCAAGAATTGAATCATATGGTCTTTATCTGATAGCGAGGAAGAAACAGTTTTTAAAGCGGACAGGTGATGCTAGTATATTTAGAAATCCGAGGAAGGTGGAATACACGAGCTTCAATGCACAAGCTGAGGTGGTTGTTGTAATGCTGCGTTGATGTTGCTACGACAGCTGACTGCCCACCCTACCATGATCAACCTAGCCGCAAGACCAAATTAATGGCCGATGATCTCTGAAACAACCAACACTTTAACCTACTTCCATACTACAACGTGGCATGGGTTACACAACACGAACAAACCAGAACATATTACAATTCATTTAAAACTTATTTAAATTTCCATTTTTCCTAACCAACTCTAAAATCTCGGAATTCAACAATATACGAATTCTGAATATAAGCAGGTAATGACAAATGGTATATAAAAGTCGGCTATACCGCAAAAAAAAACTGTTTTGAAATACAACTAGGATATTTTTTTTTTATTTTTATTATAACGAGAAGGAACGTGTGAGTCGCTTCTGTGGACGCGACTCTACTTTCATACCCGTACTCAGTCAGTATATAAATTTGTGAGCTTATGATTTTATCTTGATTTTTAAAATATTTTACATTTTACATTTTTTTATACATCTGTCATCTACATCTACATTTAAATGTCGATTACACATCTGAAATGTAGATTCTACATCTTCTCCGCAAAGGTTGCGCATTTCACAGGGCAGAAGGTGTGCGAGCGAGAAAGAGAATGAGTAGTGTGGTCTCTTGCTGAAGGAGGTGGGGGAAGCAACTGAAAATTAATTTCTTTATTCTGGCAAGTAATGATCCGATCTGATTCAGATTCGGCAATCTGAGAGATATGGTAATTCTCTACGATACTGCGAGGAAAAATTTTGAAATACTCTTGTAGCAGTGCAAAATTATCAAAATAATGAGCGATTTATTTTTATTTATTTATTTGGCGCTTAATAGTACAAAGAGTCAACAAATTCACAAAAGTGGATTCCAGAGCGTCTTGAAATGAAAAGTATAACTTTTTGCTGAAAAGTAAAACGCAAAGTGAATTTGAAAGCCGGAGCCTGCCTGAATATTACAGTTTTTATTTTTATTTAATAAATTTACTTAGAGGTTGCTACCGAATTTCACAAACAATTTTAAGCAAGAAAACTATAATAAATTTTTTTTAGCTGAATGAGTTGGATAATTGGTGAAATCTACATATTCATATATATTGATAACATTGATATCGCCATTAATCAGTTATTGGCAGTAAAAAACCTGCACAAGTTTTTGCGAACTAGTTAACTAAATATATCAACCTCAGCTGAACCTCTTGATTTTCACCAATCGTTAATTTTTTAACAGTAACTAAAACAATAAAAAAAAAATACCTTATTATCAATATGAACTAGTTTCTAAGTTTCATTATTATTTGAAAAAAACCGACGAGTTACATTTTTTTTCATGTATATTTACCCAAAAATTTGTATTTTCTTTTCGTGGTAGCAACCCCCAAACATAAAACTAACGAGAAGGAACGTGTGAGTCGTTTCTGGGGACACGACTCTACCTATACCCGTACTCAGTCAGTATATACATTTTTGAGCTTATGATTTTTTAGAATTTTAGACAAAAAAAAAATTTTACAAATTACATTTTTTTGCTACATCTGCTATCTACATCTACATATACAATGTCCATTCTACATCTAACATGTAGATTGTACATGTTCCATTCATATTCTACATCTCCTCCGCTAGGGGGTTGCTCGCGCACTGAACGCGGCAGAGTGTGCGAGCGAGAAGGAAAATGAGTTTCGTTGTCTTGGTCAGGAGGAGGCAGGGAAAGCAACTGAAAATAATTTCTTCATTCTGGCTATAATTATGATCCGATCTGATTCAGATTCGGCAGTCTCGTAGATATGGTCATTTTCTACGATACTGCGTTTTTAGTTTTATCGTATCTTTAAAAATGTGTCTGCCACAGATTTTTGTCCTTTGTTTGAGCAGAAGGGGGCGGGGCGAAATTTTGAAATACACTTGTAGCAGTGTGATATCACATGAGTCTGGAAACCAAATTTGGTTGCCCTAGCTCTTATAGTCTCTGAGATCCAGGCGCTCATCGAGATGGACAGACAGACGGATGGACGGACGGACAGACAGACATGGCTATATCGACTCGGCTATTGATGCTGATCAAGAATATATATACTTTATGGGGTCGGAAAATGTTCCTTCTCTGCGTTACACACATCCACTTTTACCACAAATCTAATATACCCCTTAACTCTTTTTTGAGTACGGGTATAAAAATTTGCAAATAATTGTTTAATTTTATTGTATAACAAAGAACAGAATTGTGGGATGTCCACTTAAAAAAACAGAAGAAAACAATTTTGGTATAATTTTGGCCCAGCCTAATATATACTTTATAGGGTCGGAAAAGATTTCTTCTCTGCGTTACACACATCTATTTTTACCACAAATACAATATACCCCTTAACTCTTTTTGAGTACGGGTATAAAAATCAAAGGGTATAAAGTGCCCTGTAGATAGAAGAAGACAATGATGCGGCCGCATCTTTAATCATGCGGCGCATCATTGGCAAGTGTTGCCGTATTCTGTATAGTATTTTTACAAAATACTGAAATTATACGGGCTATCGACGGGAGTATCGACAGCAAACAACTGTCAAACAGTAAATTCAATTTAATGTTTAAATATGAGCAACACGGACTCCTCCTTAACAAGCTCCATAAACAATTGGGTGCTCGTAGTGAAACTCCCAAATCCACAGTTTGACATATTTACAAATAAATCGCTCATTATTTTGATAATTTCTTTAAATTTCAATAAAAACGCTTTTTCTCTCTTCTTCTTGCTTACCGAGTTTGTTTACATTAGTAGTAGGCCGAACAGCTGACAGATGCTTCGAAAAAGATGCGGCTTTGGTGTAAAAGCCTCGCAGCATTTTTCCGCACCTTCGACAATGATGCGGCAGTCTAAAAAGGGTATAATACCTGATTTTTATACCCGTACTCACTACGAAAAAATTCTGTTTAGACTCATTAGAGTGCTACTCTCCATTGAAATCTTTAGTAAAAGGCGAAAAATTTATTCGACAATTGAAGAGAAGCCAGAGGCTCTGTATTTTAGTAAAAGAGTATGTGTTTAACGCAGAGAAGGAAACTTTTCCGACCCCATAAAGTATATTTATTCTTGATCAGCATCAATAGCCGAGTCGATACAGCCATGTCTGTCTGTCCGTCCGTCTGTCTGTCCGTCTTGTTTGTCGACTAGATCACAGAAACTATAAAAGCTAGAGCAACCAAATTTTGTTTCCAGACTCATGTGATATCGCACTGCTACAAGAGTATTTCAAAATTTTTCCCGCAGTATCGTAGAGAATTGCCATATCTCTCAGATTGCCGAATCTGAATCAGATCGGATCATTACTTGCCAGAATAAAGAAATTCATTTTCAGCTGCTTCCCCCACCTCCTCCAGCAAGAGACCACCCTACTCATTTTCTTTCTCGCTCGCACACCCTCTGCCCTGTGCAATGCGCAACCTTTGCGGAGAAGATGTAGAATCTAAATTGTGTATGTAGAATCTACATTTCAGATGTGTAATCGACATTTTAGATGTAGATGTAGATGACAGATGTATAAAAAAAATGCAATATGTAAAGTATTTTAAAATTCAAGATAAAATCATAAACTCACAAATTTATATACTGACTGAGTACGGGTATAAAAGTACAAGTCGCATCCACAGAAGCGACTCACACGTTCCTTCTCGTTTTTTTTATTAACTGTTAAAAACACTAGTTAACACGATTTTTCCTCAAGGAACAAAACGAACTTTTTCTTAAAGATTTGGGGCTTAGAAATGGTTTGATGATATTTTTTTTTTCTATGGCAGAACTTTTTTTTAAAGAATTTTTGTTTTCTCATGGTTTATCTAATGATGTGTTAGCTTTTATTCAAAGCAAGTTAAATGCCGTTCAGCTTAAGTTCTCTAATGCGGGAATCACAGACCGAGCATTAGATCGCAAATGCATGAAATAGTTCAATATTCAAAGCGGAAGAAACATGTAGACCAAGTAGAACAGTATATACCATCAGCTTACCGTCTGGAAAATATTAAGCTTTCAAATGCAAAATTGATGATCAACTTTGATTCGCAATATCTTTATGTATATCTATTCTATCGCCACGAATCAAAAATCCTGTAAAAGATTTTGAGTTAAAATTATGAAAGAGCCCAAAACGTTGGTGTAGCAATGTTTCAAGCGTTTCAAATGAGATTTTCGGAGGTTTGGTCAACCAATTTTAGATCCGCTGCTTTCCGTAGATTTAAATAAGTAATATCTTAAACGACGCCGAATGAATGCACCTATGCACAAAAAACCCGGAAAGAACGTGTGAGTAGCTTCTTTGGACGCGACTCTACTTTTATACCCGTACTCAGTCAGTATATAAATTTGTGAGCTTATGATTTCTGTTGAATTTTAAAATATTATATATATTAAATTTTTTTCCTACATCTGTCATCTACATCTTACATGTTTATTAGGCTGGGCCAAAAAACTTTTTTTTCGAAATTCAAACGGGACACCCCCTAGTTTTGTTTCCTTGGATTTAATAGTAAGTTACATGATTTTTTTAATTTTTTAGAGGTTTCTACCAAATTATACAAAAAATTGTTATCAAGAAAATTTTGTTTCTCAATAAGTTGGATAATTGGTGAAATCTATTGCATATACATATATTGATAGCATTCATATCTTCATTAATCAGTTATTGGCAGTAAAAAACGTGCACAAGTTTTTGCGAACTAGTAAACTAAATATATATACCTCAGCTGAACTTCTTGATTTTCACCAATCGTTATTTTTTTAATAGTAACTAAAAAAATATAATAATACCTTATTATCAATATGAACTAGTTTCTACGTTTCAATATTATTTGAAAAAACCGACGAATTAAATGTTTTTTAATGTATATTTACCCAAAAATTCGTATTTTCTTTTCGTGGTAGCAACACCCAAACATTAAACTAAAAATTTAAAAAAATTTTATAATTTTATTGAATAACATTAACAGAATTAGAAGGTGTCCACTTGAAAACACAGAAAAAAATGTTTTTGGTCAAATTTTGGCCCAGCCTAATGTTTATTCTACATCTGAAATGTAGATTATACATCTTCAATGTCGGTTCTGCATCTTCTCTGCGAAAGGTGGCGCATTGCAAAGGGCAGAGTGTGTGCGATCGATAAAGAGAATAAGTAGCGTAGTCTCGTGCTGGAGGTGGTGGGGGAAGCAACTGCAAATTAATTTCTTTACTCTGGCTATAATATTGATCCGATCTGATTCAAATTCAGATTCGGCAATCTGGTAGATATGCTCATTTTCTACGATACTACGCTTTTACTTTTCTGGTATCTTTAAAATTGTGGCTGCCAACAGATTTTCGTCCTTTGTGGCGGCAGAAGGGGGCGAAGCGGAGTGTGATATCACATGACTCTGGAAACAAAATTTGGTGGCTCTAGCTCTTATAGTCTCTGAGAACTAGGCGCTCATCAAAACGGACAGACGGACGGATACACAGTTATGGCTATATCTTCTCGGCTATTGATGCTGATCCAGAATATATATACTTTATGGGGCTTCTCTGCGTTACACATATCCACTTTTACCACAAATCTAATATACCCCTGAACTCCTTAACCCCTTAACTATTTTTGAGTACGGGTATAATAAAAATAAAATGCGGAGCGCAAAACAAAATCACGTTGGTCACTACACTATAAATTTGTAGAACAAAATCTGTGTGTAAGCTGCTACATATCTCCGCAACGCGTTCACCAAATTGCATTTTGTTTTTTTTTAAATGATAGCTAGAGTATGTGGCATTGTTTCTGTATAGAAGTTTTTACTTTTCTATATATAAGTTCTTCAAAAAGTTATTAAGCTTTCAAATTGAAATTTCATCATTTTTTGAGGTATTTTTTTTCTTCAAAATTTTGACTTTAAAAACTCGGAAAAGTCGAAAAAAATAATTCTTGGCCAACATTTTTAGTTTTAGAAAGACGCATTAATTAGGCGTCGTTTAAGGTATTGTTCATTAAAATCTATGGATAAACGGTCAACTTGCAGCGGTTTGACCAAAACGACTCTAACCTTTAAAAAAATGTTGGGCCCGCAACCATCGAAAAGGTATTTTTTGTTCATTTTTCCATTTTTAGGTTTGGTTAACGAATTTTAGCTCCAAAGTCTCTCCATAGATTTAAATCAGCGATACCTTGAACGACGCCAAATTAATGACCTCTACACAAAAAAAATAGAGGACACAGAATATAATTTTTTTTCGACTTTTCCTGAGTTTTTAAAGTCAAAATTTCGTAAAAAATACCGCACAAAAATCATAATTTTTGCATTTCAATGCTTCATATTTCCAGACGGTAAGCTGTAATCACAAAGTGTTTGGGCTTAACTTCTAGCTGTTTTAATTATCTTTTCAAAATAGCAAAGTTCTTTACAACCAGACGTAAGATACTAGAGCTATGTGAAAAAAACAAGCGCTACCTTTGAAAAAAGCTTTAAAAAAAAATACCAGACTTAAAAATTCTTCAAAAAAAAGTTCTGCCATAAAAAAAAAAAAATATTATCAAACCATTTCTAAGCCCCAAATCTTAAGAAAAAATTGTTTTGTTCCTTGAGGAAAAATCGTGTTGACTAGTGTTATCACCGCTTGAGTCACATTGTTCATCCGTTTCTTGACGGACAACCTCTTACCGTTGCACAATTTCGGATGATTCAGATTCCGCAACATGGTTATGATTGATCACACCTTCAGTAGTAAATTATACGGCGAAGTTCCTGGCGCATCAATTAGTCCGAAAATTCCGTGGGATCGTTTATCGCTTCATCCTCGTCGGTCATGCTGTCTACGGATTTGTATGAATGCAGCTCTCTAGCGATTTGATCTTTAATAATGGAGTTCAAACTATCGACATCCTTATTTTTCGCTGCTAGTATTGCCCGTTCACTAATCCAATCAAGATTTTTATAATTTTTGCGATGCCGGGGAACACGTTAGTGATTAGTTTCTCTTCGACAATATAAATCGCAAAAATCGCTCGGCCATTGCCAAGCGCCTGAAAAATATCGTTTCTGGTCCAATGCCAAACGAACACGTTCAGGTACCAAAAATTCAACCCATTTTTGTTTGCTTTGTTTCCAATTGGCAGTTGGCCCGCAACCTTCCAAAAAGTATTTTTTGTCTATTTTTTCATGTTTTAGGACTGGCTAACGAATTTTAGCTCCACCGTTTATCCATAGATTTTAATGAACAATACCTTAAACGACGCCTAATTAATGTGTCTATCTAAAACTAAAAATGCATACTTTCTTTCGACTTTTCCCGAGGTTTTAAAGTCGAAAATTGGAAAAACTACCGAAAAAAATTATGAAATTTTAATTTGAAAGCTTAATATCTTCCAGGCGTTAAGCTGCAGATACAAAGTGTCTGGGTCCGATTTAAAGCTGCTGTCAGCTTTTCAGAACTGTAAAGTTCTATTCAACCAAATATAAGATACTTAAGTTATGTGAAAAATAGAAGCACTTCTCTAAAAAAAACATTAAAAAAATACCAGATTTTAAAAAATTCTTTAAAAATAAACTACATCATAAAAAAAACCATAATTCGTTAAAAATTGTTAAACCCCGAAATCTATAAGAAAAGTTATTTTGGGCCACAGCCTAATTCTCGTGTTGACTAGTGTAATTAAAAAAGCAAGACAAACGAAGTCGGCTTTCCAACACGCTAACCGTGTGAAAAATAGGGCCAGACTTCCAAAGATTGGCCTTGCGATTTATTGATTATCATCGCAAAGGCTTATCGAACGGGAAACTAAAGCCTTTTGAATGGAATTAGTGGGATAAGGGCTAACTCTTCTTTGAATTTGCCATTGATTACACTACTCGACAAAATCGACCTTTTTTTTTCCTCAAGGATCCAAACCGACTTTTTCTGATAGATATGGGGATTTCAAAATTTTTTAAGATCATTGTTTTTTTATGGCAGAACTTTTTTTGAAGAATTTTTGAAGTCTGTATTTTTGCTTTTTTCAAAGGTAGC